GTGTTGCCACTGTTTTATAGAATATAGTTAGAATAGAATTGTTTTATCTTACTTCTTTCTGTTGTTGTTGTGTACCCATAGCTGACCCTCCGGTGTGTTTTGAGAGGCAATTAAACACATAGGAGGAGATTGCCTGTCCTTCTCCTGTGGAGCAGCTGGTGGCCTCGAGCCTTGTCCCTTTGGGATTGCAGCACAGCTTCTTGCCTTTAAGCCACTAAGAGCTCTCTCTGTAGTAGTTTAAAAACTTGTATTTTGGTAACACTTTTGTATTTACTACTCCTATTTTCATTAATGTCTCAAGGGATAGATATTCATTGCTTCTGTAATATGTTATTGTTGTTGTTAAGTGCTGTTGAATTGCAGGCGACTCATAGCGACCCTATGAACAAAAGTCCTGGACATATAAAGAGTAAAATAATCTTCTGAAACAATCAGAATTGTTATATGTATTTATACATAGTGATATGTATTTAAAATGGATATGTCTTCAAGGGGGGAAAAAGATCAAAAGTACTTCCTTTTAGCAGTACTACTGTTGTTCTTTCTCTGGTTTTAGTTTTGATCCTGAGTGATGGCAGAGGATAGGGAGAGTGACACAGAAGAAAAAAAGGGTGGTAATTGAGCTCTTTGGGATTGGAATGTCTGGTAGTCTCAGAAGATAAAGCACAAGTGGCATAGTCTTCTTCTGAGACTTGAGCTGGAAATGCCTTTTCTATCTTAGAGCAAGATTTAGAATTTTCTTGTTATATCCTTTTAGACTTCTCCCCCATTATGTTTTTGCTTTGCTCCCCTTTTATTTTAAATTTTGGTCGCAGTGAATTTTATATGTTTAATTTTATACTTCTGTTAAGACAAATCTTTAGACCAGATGTCTGATACTTTTGGAAAAGAAAAATGTGAAAACTTTTCTTTATGAAAAATTATTTACATTAATGTCTAATTATTTGCCATTAAATTATGAATTATGCATCTTTAACACTTAGTTTTTTGGGAAAGTTTAACGATTTTTCTCAGGGTAGTAGTTTCACGTTCCAGGAAGTTCAGTGTCTATGAGAATTTAACCTTCTGTTCTACACTTAGCTCCCTTTTGGTCAAGATTCTTATGTAGAATCTTTGATCAAAATATTCAGTAATGGTGTGGGCACCATCCAGTTCTTCTGGTCTCATGGCAAAGAGGCAGTTGTTCGTGGATATAATGCACCACATAGTCCATGCCACCTTCCCTACACCTGATTGTCTTTCTCTTTTGCTCCAGATAGATAGAGACAAATTGTTATGCCTTGCATGGCCACTTGCAATCCCATGCACCATGCAGATAAGGAGATAATACAGAAACTATGCTGGTAATCTGGGATGCCCCATGTTACCCTGACCCTGAGCCTCCAAACTAAAATATGAAATCCTATGAGAGTTTTTGGATGTACTTAAGCAGATGCTTTTTTAATTTTTGTTAAACCTGTCACTTGGCTTCTGCCAATTCTACTCTTTATGGGTATACAACTTAGTGATAACTGTTGCAATAATTTCACAATAGAAGTCCCATTGTGCGTTCCTACTTGCCTTTGATTAAGGGATTCAGCTTCTCTACATTCTTGCATTCTTAAATTTTTTTTTTTGCATTCTTAAATTTTTATAAAATTAATTTCTATCCTAGTAGGAGTGAAATGCTTTCTCATTGTGATTTTGTTTTCCATTTCTTTGATCACTGATATGCTGAACATCATTTCATACATTTAATGGCCATTTGAGTGTCCTCTTTAGTGAAATGTATATTTAAGTCCTATCATTTTGTTGTAACTTTTCCTAACTAGAAATAGTGAAGAATTAGCAAGTAGATAATTTCCTGGTAGCAGCAGCTTTTTTGCTGTATATAGAGAATTGTCTTCTCTTACTTGCCTCTTGTTTAGAATCAACAAGACCTTGGGGAAGGGCCTTTCTATTTAAAGTTGGTTGTTAACTATATTTTGGAAGAACATTCTTCATAGTGGTACAGCATTCTTCTGTCAGTACCCTGTACTGAGGTAACTTAGGGTTGCTGTGTTGGCTGAACTTTTTGTGATTGAGGTGTCAAATGCCATAATGGTTACCCATGGTGGACAGTGTTTGGTGCAGCTCCCAGTTTAAGACAGGTTTGGAAGTAGGATTGGCATCCACTTCCTTAAACAACATGCCTCTGGAAACTATGAACTTTGATAAATGTCGATAGTTACAGAGGGGCTTCAGACCTTTTGTTCATAGGATCGCTACAAGTCATGCTTGACTTGAAGGCAGTCAACAACAACAACAGGAGAATAGATAAGTGTTTTAAAAGCAAACTAGAATTTTGATTCCCAGTGAACATATATATTAACTATGTGATCTTGATATCCTTCTTTCCTCACCTGAAACCTAAAAATAAGGATACTTCTGGTGGCTCAGTGGTAAGGATATGTGCTGCCAACCCAAAAGTGGTGCTTATGTACTGGTGAGTTGGAACCGACCCACAGCTGACCTTCCAGCAGGTTTTCAGAGGCAGTTAAGCGCATAGGAGGATATTGTGCTCCTTCTCCTGTGGGACAGTTAGTGGGTTCAAACCACGTGCTTTTGGGATTGCTGTGCAGCTTCTTAACTAACCATTAGGTCACACAGTTTGAATTCACCAGCTGCTCCACAGGAGAAGGATGGACTATTCCCATACTATTAACTGTCTCTGAAAACCTGCTGGAGGGTCAGATACATAGATTGGTTCCAACTCAGTGGTTCTCAGCAACCTCTAGGTCTGTGCTCTGGTGTAGTCTGTAGGGGCTTGCCATCATAATCTAAAGGTGGTTCCTCTCTGGAGGTTCAAATCCACAGTGGCTCCTTGGGAGATGAGCAGCCTCGTCTGTCATTTACAGCCCCTGAAAACCTTTCAGAGGGTCAGCTGTGAGTTGATTCCTGCTGGATGGCGATGAGTTTGAATACCTCTGCTTGTTGTTAGTGATTTATACTAAATAAGTACCTGAGTCTTACAGTATAGGGGAGCCAGTTATATTTTCTACCACCTTATATCTCACACTCAAGAAAAGCTCACTCTCATTGAGTCGATTCCAGTTCGTAGTGAATCTCCCATTGAATTTCTGAGATTGCAAATTATAATGGGGAGATCACCCATTTTTCTCTGCTTGTCTGGGTTTGAGATGCTCTAGAGACAGATGTGCAGCTGCAGCCTTTCGGCTCGCCTCACAGCATACTCCGTGCTGCACCCTGGAGCGCCTCCACCATATCTCTACTACTGGCTGATTTCCTTGTTGAAAGATCCCATAGCAACCTTTGAAAAGCTTGTATTTATAATAATAAAATTAAAGGTGAAAAGAAGAAAGGAAAACAAAAACAAAACTGAGATGAATAGGGGAAAAAGAGCTCATATAAAGTGCTTTTTTTAGATAAATCAGTTCTTCAAGCTGGAAAGGAATTCTTTTGGCTTACAGGGTTGTTGTGGGTCAATGTTACACCTATAAAAACTTGGTTTTAACTGTCTGAATAAACTTTTTGCTCATCTGGATGAGTTTACATGTTTTCTAGTATGTCCAGTCTTTACCTGTTGTACTTTTTTCTTAAATTGTCAGTAAAGTGAAAGTATATAGCTATTTTTGCAGTGAATTGAGACATGACTTAAACATACTTCTGAAACTTTAATGGTTATTATGGCAGAATGCTGAGCTCCCGGCGCAGTAACTTGGCCCAGTGAGTCTCTGAGGAACTGCTTCTGTTGTTAGGTGGCAGCATGGAACTTTATGGCCTTTGTTGACTGTTTCATGTGATGTATTTTTACTGTTGCCAGTGTGGTAGTTTGGCAGTGGGAGTATGGCTACTTTGATACCCACTTTGTAAACTGCATTTCTGAGCCTATGGTTTTTAAGGTGTTTGAGAAATGTGTGTGTGAGAGAGGAGAGAGAATGACGTAATTACAAGAGTCCTTCAGTTCTTTGGTTTCAAGAAAGCCTTTCTAGTTTTAAAATTTTACAGTTGTAAAATGGAAACAAAAATCAAGCTTCAAAAAACTCACATTGATTGCCATGGAGTCAGAACTAACTTCAGTCTGACCCTATTGTGGATTTTCAAAGATTATAAAATGCACAGGAAGAGATAGCCTCTCTTTCTCCCATAGAGCTGCTGGTGGATTTGAACCAACAGAGAAGCACTGCCTTTAGATCAGCAGCACAACTCCCTACAGATTATGCCACCAGAGCCCTTTAAAATTTTGGTCTAAAATTAAGATTTATGAGATTGTATTGATGTAAACACATTTATAAAAGTGTGTCTAGTTTTCATATTTGCTATTGTGTAATAATTTGGTTTTAAAAAGCAGAATAAAGGTGTTGTTGTTATGTGCTGTGGAGTCTCTTACGACTCATAGTGACCCTATGTACAACAGCCCTAAACTCTGCTCTGTCCTGTGCCAATTGCACTGCCTCTGACACACCCATCCCGATTACGCCAGTCACTGAATCAGTCCACCTCGTAGAGGGTATTCCCCTCCTACGCTGTCCCTCCACCCTTCCAAGCATAATGTCCCTCTCCAAGGACCTGTCCCTCTTTACAACATGTCCAGGGTATGTCAGATGAAGCCCCAGGATCCTTACTTCCAAGGATTTTTTTGCTTTCTTTGCAGTCCAATCCAAATTTTGTTTCCTTTTTTTTGTTTGACTACTATATTTTGTTAAAGTCTCTTTACTTTCTAATAATAGCATAAGGCTTATATCTTTCCCAGAAATATTATAAATTTATAGCACATAATGGAAATATTAAAAATGTTCATCCGTGTGTCCAACTATTCTCTCCACCCCAAAATGGAGTACTTTGTCTTTTGTTTGCAGATTACTTTAGCTAGTGAAGTTTCTGTTATTTATTTAAAGGTTCACTTTTATTTCACTTAATTTCGTAGGTGAATTTTGTGATAAGTATGACTTTATTATTACGATTTGAAATTTATATGCAAAAAATGTTTTATTTGTTATGTTGTATCTCTTTTTTTTCAGGCCCAATGATGCATCAACAGCCTCCTTCACAACAGTATAATATGCCACAGGGAGGTGGGCAGCATTACCAGGGACAGCAGCCTCCAATGGGAATGATGGGTCAAGTTAATCAAGGCAATCACATGATGGGTCAGAGGCAGATTCCTCCTTATAGACCACCTCAACAGGGTAAGGCGACCTTTTAAAGCATTTCCTGGTTATTGCACATAAGGACATTTGAAAGCCTTTAAATTTTAAGAAACTTTGTTTTGAAAAATGCTTAGGCAAAGTTGGGGTTTTTCTCCTCTTGATTTTCCCTAATCCCTCATACATGTAATAAATGTGGTAGGTCCAAAGGGTCATGTAGTAATTAGGAACTTGAAGTTAGAGATAGATTTCTTTTAGCTATCCTTTCCTGAGATGAAGACATACAATTTTATGTTAAAAGCTCACATAATTTTTGTAGGAAAGAACTGTTTTTGAGAACATACTAAATAAGTGGTCATGAGCAAATCTAATTTTATTTCACACTAATGCCAAAATAAATGAAAAGGAAATGACTTTTCTACTAGTTGAACGTCTAACATTTTAGTGATGTTTTTCTGTAATGGTATTGCTTAGTATTAGTATTGCATGCATGGTATTTACATTAATTGTAGTGAAATATGTGTGTGAAGATACATGTATATGTTTGACTGTGTATAAGAATAGTTGAAAGTATCTGAAATACCAGAGAATGGAAGGGGAATCTATAGCTGAGAAATAATTTCTCATAAAATCAGATTAGAAAGCAAGCCTTTGATGACTTAGAGAACAAATTATTTACATCTTGACTGGTTGTGGTTTTTCAGGCCCACCACAGCAGTACTCAGGCCAGGAAGACTATTATGGGGACCAATACAGTCATGGTGGACAAGGTCCTCCAGAAGGCATGAACCAGCAATATTACCCTGATGGTAATCTCTCCTAATGTTAACTTTCCCATTTTCTATCCCTGCCCAATATTAATGGAGATAGCTATTCAAAACTTTTTAAGGGGATGAAGAAACTAACAGTCTGTTTCTTCTGGTAGAAACAACTTTATGTAATCCAAAGTAATAATAGTGTTTAGTTTATAAAATAAAGTATAATTTTTTGGTAGCTATTCCATGTTAGTACCATCAGGAATTGCTTTCTGTCATTAGAATCCTTTCTTATGTAAAATAAGACCCTTCTACTCAGAATTATTAATTTCAACTAAAGCACATATCATTGATTTACTTTTTAAAATAATCACTATTTATTGATAAATTGTTTACATACCATAAAATCTTCCCATTGTTTTACACTTATGCATCTGTAACTATAGAGATAATATATAATTCTTAGACACTCTGTACCTCCCAAAGAAAAATGGTTTATATACATTAACTATTTGAGAACAATATTGGCAGCTAAATGATAATGTAGCTTTTATAGATTAAGTAGGATAGGAAAGATACCTAGAAACTCTAATACTTTGTTTTTCTGACTACTTTTTAGTGAGAATGACGTGTAAAAAACTTGTTCAGTAAAGATGTACATATTAATATGTACTGCAATAGGCTCAAGTATGTCAGAAATTATGAGGATGACAGGGTAGGATAGGATAGGATAGGGTTCACATCTGTTGTTCGTAGGATTGCTTTGAGTTTTACTACATTCGATGGCACCCCACAATAGCAGTAAACAATGACAGTCTAGTAAAATATTGAACAGATAACTATTCAAACATACCAAACTTTTGAGATGTGATTATTCACTTTACAGAGTGACTCATGCTGTTATATGGAAGGATTTATTAAAAGCTTTATTAAAAGTTGTATATTTACTTGACAGAGGAACTTGGGAAACTGAGACTTAAAGCTAAAGAGTTGGGAGTCATTGGTTAGAAAGAAGCTGATGTAAGCCAGGAGGATGTAATTTGATGTATGTAAGATAACATTTTGCATGCCATTTTTAGTAAAGCCCTTAAGAATAAAGGCACTTCAGTATTAAAACCATTGGTTTTTACTGCAGAGCCTCTTGATTATACAGGCAAAGCAGCCACTCACCTGTAAAAAGTCAATGTCTTTGCACACAGTAAATATTTTCGTGATAGAGATGATATATAGGGATACTTCTGATTAGAAAATGATGTATTTTCCCCCTCACAGATGTTCTTGAACGGAATTATTCAGAATGTTGTTTTTTTTCTTTTTATTGTCTCTTATTATATACATACAATTTAGATTTGCATTTAATTAGAGACTAATTGTAGTAGACTATAGATCTTTTAAAGAGCTGAAATATACTTCATTAAATTATGTGTAGTATAGTAAGTCTGAAAACAAAAGGATCGTTTAATTTTTAAAATGTATTTTAAGTAATTAACATAAACTTGACATTGATATTTTAGTTCTCTTTCTTAAACCATGGTATTTTTATTGTTATTAGTATAACTGTTTTATTAACAGTAGACATATTACTTTTCTAAATATCATAACTATAAAGTTATTTCATTCTAATCAAGGATTACTAATTTGAATGTCGTTTTGCATAGCTGTTAATGGCATTCATGTTACATATTCATTACATTTACATCAAGTAATTTATTAAATAACATTGAGGGTTTTTTTCCTCATTATGTCTTGGTATTTATTTGAGTAAATATGTAGGATTTCTTCCTTTAGAATTTTCCTAAAATTAGTTCATTCACATTTTAGCTAATCAAAAGATTATTTCCTGTATTTTCTTTGTGAAATGAAACGAAAAATTGTTGTTATTGTGCTAGAGTCGTTTGTGACTCACAGTGACACTGTGTAAAACAGTCCTAAATCCTACTCTGTCCTGTGCCAATCTCACTGGCTCCAACACACCCACCCCTATTACTCCAATCACTGAATGAGTCTACCTCACAGAGGTCTTCCTCTCCTGTGCTGTCCCACCACCCTTCGAAGCGTGACATCCCTCTCCAAGGACTGGTCCCTCCCTGCAACATGCCCAAAGTATGTCAGACGAAGCTTCAGAATCCTTGCAGCCTGGTTTAACCCTCTGCAGGATAAGAAAGTAATTATTTTTTGTTAGTCTAGACATCTTGCAGACAAAGTGTATTGTCCCTTAAAAACAACATTTAAACAAACAAACAAAACACTAAAAAAACCCCATACTGCTGTAGAATCAATTCCAACTTCTATTTCCCCCTCCGGTTGGGTTTACAAAGCTATAAATCTTTAAGAGAGGAGAGTGTCCACCTTTATTCCGTGGAATCGAAACACCAGCCCTTAGGTTGGCTGCCTGACACATTATGCACTACTCAAACAAGGCTCCTTAAAACAACATATAGGTAATGGCTGTGTATGGAGTTATGAAACTAAAAAGGTATATTCTAACACTTAAATAGCATTAATTTTAATAGAATTGTATGCTTATGATATTTAGAAATATTTCCTAAAGATATAAACTGACAACACTAAATAATTCTTGCATCTGAGAATACTTTGAGATACATGTACTTTATGCAGGTAAATAGAATGTGGAAAATGTGTTTCAGTTTCTTTCAGGGGAAAAAAACTTATGGAGCTCTTTTATATTTTGCATTGTTTTTAGCATATGCTGTGGAATTGGAGATCAGCAGAACAGGTGTTTGACAAAATATGATAATTGCTTCCTTTGTTCATTCTAATTTAATTCAAGTTATTTACATGTGAAAGGCCTAAATGCTTTCATTCTTCTTTTTTTTAAAAAAATGAAAGATAAAGGTTTTTTCCCTTCAATGAAGATTATTATAGTTAAGGCAATAAGTGTAATGTTTCTAATACTACTGCTTTTTGCTTTTTGAAAAAAAATTTTGCAAGTCATTCGCAATATGAAAACAATCACATTGGTAAATATTTGGCAAATGCAATTGCAAATATTTTTTTATGTATTTCTAGATCATTTTCTTTCTTTTTTTTTCTTTTCAATTTTATCTGAAAGTTTAACTATTTTTAGGGTTTCACTCAGTGGCCATTAACGTTTCTTCCTGTCTCTTGTCGAATTGATGTAGGTCATAATGATTACGGTTATCAGCAACCGTCGTATCCTGAACAAGGCTACGATAGGCCTTATGAGGATTCCTCACAACATTACTACGAAGGAGGTATCTATATACCTTCACACATATACACACACTTGTCCCCCTCTACAGGACCCAGAATTCTTGTATAAGTCAACTTCTACCCGTGCAAAGCTCTTGTAGAATAATAGCTGGCTGTCTTGAAAGTTGTAGGGAGTCCAGAAAAATCAAAATAATTTCCTTACAAATCTTCAAAATGTATAACTATGACTTGTCATTTCTAACAACAGTAAAAGACTAAAACATTTAAAAATAATCTCCCTTAAAAAAATTTCTCTTTGAACATAAGTCCATCAATCCAATTTTTTTCTTGTGTGTGTTTACATATATAATTTTACATGTAAGTATAGTGGCTTTAGGAAACAGCTTGCTGATCTTGTGTAGCTAGTGTCTGCTCTTGTAGCTGTCTTTAATTTTGTCTTTTTTATTTTATTTAGCATAGTCATGATCTTATGACTGTGATGCTCCAGTAAATGTAATGCTCGTATGGCAGAGACGCTGAAAATGCTGCAGTTCAACCTTGCAAAATTGGCTTTAACTGCAGTTTGTTTGGCCGAAATCCTTCTGTTTGGTTTGAGTTTTTTTCCCTTTGTTTTGTTAACCTTTAAAAATCAATATGGCATTTCATTTTGTTCTTGTGTTGTTGGCTGTGCATTTTAGAAGAAAAAGAATGAATTCCACAAATTCCACAGTCTTTTTTTTTTCTTCCCTCTTCTCCAATTACCCTGTAGGAAATTCTCAGTATGGCCAACAGCAGGATGCTTATCAAGGACCACCACCACAGCAGGGATACCCCCCGCAGCAGCAGCAGTACCCGGGGCAGCAGGCCTATCCAGGGCAGCAGCAGGGCTATGGTAAGTAGCTTACTGCAATTTGTTGCTGTCAAAATTGGAACATTTGCAATTTTGAAATATTGATATGTAACATTTCTTTATCTAAGGATTATAATTTTTGAAAGTTATCAGTTTTAGTTTAGTCTGCTTTTTATTCGTGTTTGTTACAAATATTGCTGTTAAAATAAAATAGTATGTTTAAAAAGAGCCATGAACTGGGTATGATTCATTGTCCAAGTCCAGAGGTAAGATCTGTATTTCTTTAAAAAAATAAACTAATAAAAAAATGCTCTCAAACGTGCTCTCAAATTCTCAAAAACATTCATTACCCACCAGTACTTTTGTTGGTGCTTAGAAGACTGAATTTGGATGATTATTAGCCATATCTACATAATCTACTTAACCTAGTTGTTTCTAAAACTAATTGCTATCACTGTGAAAAGAAGGTTGATTTTTTTTAAATTACAAATTAAAAAAATCCATTCAGAAAGCATGGTTTTTGTCATTTCCAGTTCAGGAATGTTATATATGTCCATAATACTGCAGGGCTATTACTGCAGTTACATTTCTAGCAGAGTTTAGGAAAAGTGTAACTATATTTGCCTGTTCTATACTCACTATACTGTCTACCACCTGAACATCTGACTTTATTTTAAGATAATTTTTTAAAAAGAGTCTGGAATAAAGAGGTGTTGAGGACATTGTATCAGTCTCAGATTTCAAGTGGTTATAGGCTGTGCAGGTACAGGAAATGCTGTTGGAGATAATAGAGAAATAGCTCCTTTTATTAATGCTGACTTTTGCTGGTTTGGCCTTTTTTTTAAAAAAAAAATATCAGTAATGTCTTATTTTTTTACTAGTTTAAGCTCTGCGGTGATTGTCTTGTCTACCTATGATAGCAAATACAGGAAACACGGTTAGGCTGACGTTCTCTTGCTTCTTCAGGACACGCATAGAAACTAAGCCAAATGTTTTCCCAAAAGTCCTCCTTATGTAATTACAGATACTGTTTTAGGAATACTTTGGATTTGTTTGTTTGTTTTTCACCATGGATTTTCTAAATTTTCACTCTTAAATATCATTGCTGTTTCGTAACTATTGAGTATTTGTGCTTTAAATAAGCACAGTGTTTTGTTTTTGTTGTCTTTGCCAAAAATGGATCTTATGTGACCAAATCAGCAAATTCATTTTGATAAGAGAACTATTATTTTCAGTGGGGAAATTTTTTTTTTTCTTCAGTTTTTTGTGTGAACAGTTAAATGAGGCAGGAATCATAAAGTAGGGTTGTTTCCAATTTGCTTCTTCATAGATTTCAGTTTGTTGACTCACCTATCAACTGAAAATGTGAAATTTAACAAGTAGACTGATAAAATTTATTTAAGTTTGAAAATGTATTATCTTGTTTTGATTGTCATTGTAATCAGTGTTTTTATATCTGTATTTTAATATACAGTTTGTATGTGCTAAATAATTCTTTATTATATAGGTAATAATAGATTTGATAAACAAATACATCTATTTGATAAAAAACATCAGTCTTGCCATCTCTGGAGCGTGAAATTATTACATTTTCAGGTTAATGTGAAAAAAAATCATTGCTACTAGATTATAACATTTGAATTGAGGAGACTTCCCCTGCCAGTACATCCTTAACGTTTAGATTCCATTTTAAATTATTATGATAATAAGATTCTTTAGTAATTGCAAATGTAAATCTCACTGACTCTCAAACTCTTAACTAAAATTATTTCAGTATTTTCATTTGCATCTGCTTCTTCTTGCCTTTCCCCTCCCCTCATGTTTATACTGATTAGCTTTCTTTGTAGAGGTATAGATGAATTTTCTTATTATGGAGTTAGCCTGCTTTATACCTCTTACTGCTTTGCAGTACAAATTTTTAATGGCTAAGTAATAGCACAATAGTTAGATTGAGTTAAAGCATCTGGTAAGTGGTAGTGACATTACAGTATTTCCGTTCTTCTCATACCCATGAAATTTATCCCAGAAAACACTGATAAAGTCAGGGTATCAAGATAGCTTTTTTAACATTTACATATAAAAAAATATAGTAACATGTAGCTTTAAACCCTTTTCCAGGATTCTAGTGACCTACTGCGTTTTTTAGCCTGACTTTTTTTTATGTTAACTATTTTGCAGGGCCTTCACAAGGTGGTCCAGGTCCTCAGTATCCCAACTACTCGCAGGGACAGGGTCAGCAGTATGGGGGGTACAGACCAACACAGCCTGGACCACCACAGGCACCTCAACAGAGGCCTTATGGATATGACCAGGTAAGTTATTTGTCTGTGAGACTGCCTCCTTGCTAGTTCACTTTGGATTATTTTCACTGATGACTCATTTACCTTTCTTGTCATGATACTAAGGTCTTTCTTGTCATGATACTAAGCTATTCCAAGTGTCATTCCTTCTTCTAATGCCCCTAATTCTTGAATTTTTGTCACATGTTTTGCTGAAGTATGTACCTTTGCGTATTGAGATGTGGTGGTCATCCTGTGTCAGTACTCTTATTAGCTCTTCCCTTCATTTCATCATGTCTACCCCACGTCCTTCACCTCTCTGATAGCCCATCTTTTTAAAGTCATACTTTATACCTGTTTTGTTAACCTCTTCCATACACATATCCATTATCTCAAAGTATTACAAAGTTTTCATCTCTATTCTCTTTTCTCCAAAATTTAGAGCCCTATCTCATCCTAAAATGACTGTATTTTTCTCAGATTTTAGTGCTCATTCAAGTACCTTCTTTTCTTCACTAAACTTACAAACCCAACTGTCATTGAGTCAGTTCCACCTCATGGAGACCTTCTGTCAAATGCTTAGTGCTGTGAGTCTTCACTTGAATGGCTGACCTTTCAGTATGTAAAGCAGATTAACCCATGACACTACCAGTGCTCCATAGTCTGTAACACAGGATTTGTTTTATGAATTCTGTCATCATACTTTGAATTATAATGGAAAATACTTATGTTGACAATTCTTTTAGGCTGACTTCAGATTTATCTAGCTAGAGGCTTTCTGCTCTGAGTGATCTATTTATTACTAAAGCTCTGAGAGAGGTTATTTTGATATGAAAGTAGTTTTGATTTCTAAGTTCGATTTCAGGGCCAAATGAGAGAGTCTTTACTGAGGAACAACTCACGTGCAGCACTAAGCAGAATTTGAATTGTGAGGAGTTCTTTTATACATCTTCTCTCCTTCTCGCAAGGCTTTTCCTCCCTCTCCTTGCACAGACTTCTTGAGTGATAAAGATAAAAGGCATACAAGAGACTCACAGCAGTAGGTTAAGGAAAAATTAATACAGACTTTAAAAATTGACTAGGACAAAGTCAAACAAAGGCTCAAGTAGAGAGTTTATCTGAAGTTTTGAAAAATAAATCTTGTGTACTATCAAGTTGGAACCAATTCATAGCTGACCCTCAGCAGGTTTTCAGAGGCAGTTAATCACCCATGCTTCTCCCACAGAGCAGTAGATGGATTTATGTCACATACCTTTTGATTGCAACACATCATCTTAACTCTAAGCCACCAGAGCTCCCTAGTTTAGTCTTGACTGCGGAGTGTTTAAGGAGAGGATTCCTTGATCAGATAAAACATAGGCACATTGTAAAGTCCACAAAATAACTTTTTAAAGAAATGAGATTTTTTTGGTCATTCATTCTCTTCACTTAAAAAATACTTATTTATGTATTCTGAGTATTATATCCTGAATGAATGAAATAGACATTATCCTTATGATTTAGGGAATCAACTCTTGATTTTAATTAACTTTAGCATTTGTTACATACTCCTTTTTCATTCCATTTCAGCATCTCACCTTGGATCTCTTGCCGTTCTCTCAACTTTAACAGGTTGTGGACTAACTTGACTATTTTTCTTCCCTAAACTATTTCTAAATTGCCAACTCATTAAGCAAATGTTTATTGAGCAGCAGTTTACACCAAGTACCATGCTAACTGGAATTGAAGATATAAGATTGACATAAACTCTGCCTTTCTGAACTCAGCATGAGGATACTAAGTGAAGAGAAGATTATAAGCAATGAATGAATGAATAGAAACCCAATGTTTCTGTAAACCTTCAAAATAAAAAAAGGAAGAATTTATAAACAAACAAAACAAGAGAAATAGATGTTAAACAGCAACAATAAAAGAAGGTACTCATCAATAACCTACAATATGCAGAAAACATACTTTGCTTGCTGTAAGTAAAGTGGATTTGAAGTACTTAGTGGTAAAAAAAAAGGACCCCCCGCCTCAACCTTCAGTATGGAATATACTAAAAATCTTAAGAAAAAAAAAGTTTGATAATTACTTGAATGAGAAAATGTAAACATTGTGCCGAAGGACACTCTTAAATCATATTGTTTTGGTTTGTTGTTATGTGCCATTGACACTAACAGTCTTAAACCCTGCTCTATCTCTTTCTAATCTTATTGTTTCCAACACGCCCATCTCCATTACCCCAGTGACCGAATCAATCCATCTCATCAAGGGTCGTCTTCTCCTGCGCTGTCCCTCCACCCAAACATGATGTCCCTCTCCAAAGACTGATCCCGCCTTGCAGCATGTCCAAAGTATGTCAGATGAAGCTTCAGAATCCCTGCCTCCAAGGACCAGCCTGGCTTCACCCTCTCCAGGACAAACTTGTTTGTTCTCCTAGCAGTCCATAGTATATTCAATACTTATTCAATACTTCTCCAGCACCACAGCTCAAAGGCATCAACTCTCCTTCTATCATCCCTAATCATTGTCCAGCTTTCTAATGCATAGCAAGTAATTGCAAAAACCATGGACTGGATCAGGCGTTCCTTAGTCTCCAGACTGACATCGTTGCTCTTCGGTACTTTGGAGAGGACAGAAGACTTTCCCAATGCAATTAATCTTTTAATTTCCTGGCTGCTGACACCAGGAGTGTTGACGGTAGAGCCAAGCAAACTGAAGCTGTCAACAATCTCAGTCTCTTCATCATACATCATGATACTGCCAATTGGCCCAGTAGTGCGAATCTTTGTTTTCTTGATGTTGAGCTTCAATCCATATTGAAGGTTGCAGTCCTTGACCTTCTGCAACAAGCACTTCCAGTCCTCCTCAGTTTCACCAAGCAAGGTTGTGTCATCTACACAATGCAGATTGTTGATGCTTCTATCTTCAATCTTGATGCCATACTTCTCCTCAAAGAGCCCAGCCTCCCAGATAATCTGTTCTGCATATGGATTGAAAATGTATGGTGTACATCCCTGGTGTACACCCTTCCCAATTTTGAACCATGCAGTGTTTCCTTGCTCTGTTAGGACGATTGCCTCTTGGTCCAGGTATAGGTTTCGCATAAGTACAATGAAGTGTTCTGGGATTGCCATTCTTCTCAGAGTCAGCCACAGTTTGTTATGATCCACACAAACACCTTTTCATAGTCAGTGAAACATAGATAGATGTTCCTCTGGTACGCTCTGCTTTCAGCTAAGATCCATATCCCTAGTGCTGAAGAACAAATTTAAACCATATTAAGAGAAAAATATATTCATAGAGATGTATTAAATGAGTGTTAGAGCCTAAGAATAAGTAGGTTTTAGCCAGGTAGGAATGAAAGAAGGAAGAGTAATTCATTCAGCAAAGCGTTCACAAGGGTTGGCAATAAGAGATCTGTTTACTTAACACAGAAGTCTAGGGAGAAGAGGCAAGAATGGAAAGAGATGTTAGGGTTAGATTTATTAGATTTATAAGACTCTTTTTAATCTTATTTTAAGAGTCTTGGCTTTATCCTGACATCAGTGTAGAGCCCCTGCACTGTTGTTAAATGATGTGTGAAATACCTGTTGGTGACTAACATTTAGTAGATGTGATTAGATACTTGATTTCATTCTCTTCTCATCGTCATTTTATTAAATCTAATCCCTAAAATTATCTGGAATTTGGAACTATAGATTGACTGTTGCCTGTCTATCTCCCTTTACTAGAAAAGGAGAGGGCTGATTTATTTACTTGTATGTCAGTAGTCTTCCCACATAGATCCTATGTATGCTGTTTCACACACACTTATTGATTTCTTTATTTTAGGGAAACTATGTTGAAGTGATGGGAAAATCAATGTAAACATAAAAAATTTCTTTGTAATTGTGTTTTTTTGAGAATGTATACAGCATACACCAGTTCAACAACTTCAGCTTGTACAATTCACTGACATTGATTACATTCTTTGTAACCATTCTTGCCTCCTTTTCTGACCTGTTCCTCCCCCACTAACAGAAATTCACTGCTACCTAAGGTTCCTTTTAATCTTAAGATCATAATGCTTAAAAAGCAATCCTTTTTAACTAGTTAAGCTAAACTAGTTTAATTTTTAAAAAGACTTCTGGGGATATTTTTGGTTTAATATTTTAGGATGCCCTCAGGACAGTAGTTTTTGGGAATTCATACCAATATAATTTCCTAAATCCAATGGTAGCAATAATATTTATAGTCTTGGTTGGGCAGTCTTGTAATGGTGGGCAGGATAAATGAAAAGTGTGGGGCATTACTGATAAAGTCAGTTTTATTAGAAGGTTGCTTGATTCTTCTAGTTGTTCAGGCCAAAATCTCAGTCATTCTTGACTATGTTCTTTTCTTGGGAATCAGACATTCAATAAATAATCAGTACTTTTCCCTCAAAATAGATCCTGAATCTAACTCCAGTCTTCTGATTTAACTAAGTCAGTGACACTGCTTATCACTCATCTATGCAATTGCAATGTCCTCTTGACCCTCCCTGCTTTTGTCTTAGCTTCTCTGCATATTTTTGACTTAAGACTCTCATCTTTTAAAAACCTTTGTTAAGGTTGATTTTTGTTGTTTGTTGTTGAGTACCACTGAGTCTGAACCAAGCCATAGTTGATCCTCCAGCTGGTTTTCAGAGACATTTGATCACATGGGAGTAAGGAGATCACACATTCTTTCCCCGTGAAGCAGCTGGTGGATTTGAACTGCATGCCTTCGGGATTGCAGGGCGTAATGTCTCTATTGAGGAAAGTACGATTTCCCCTTTTTAATTTTAGTCCCATATTCCATGACTACACTTACAAATTTTGTTTTTAACTTTTTGTTGTGGTGTGAATGAAAATTTACAGAGCAAATTGATTTTCTGTTCCATGGTTGATACTGTTTTTTTGTTTTGTGTCATTGAGTATAGTCTCCACATTGTAGTAGCACTCTGCTCAGATCTTCCTTGTTTCCCACATGCATTCTCTCTCAGTCGACCTTGTGCACTTGACCTTGGGGGGATGCTGCTCTTTTGATAT